CCTGCGGCCTCCTCCCAGGGTTTTCTTCCTTCCTCCCGCCCAGCAGCCCCGCGGCTCCCCCACACCCCCGTAGGCCTCCGGGCACCCGCGCGGATGTCCCAGCGCGCCTCCAGGGTCGAAGGCGGGGTGCGCGGTAGTGGAGAGCTAGACAAGGGGTCCCATGGCGGCGGGGCTCCATCCCGTGGGTACCGGGCCGCCACCCAGGCTCCCTCTAGCACTGTCCTCACCCTCACGGCGCTCGGTCCTCAAGGATGCGCGGTGGCCGCGGGTCGGTCCGCATGGCACAGAGGCCGCGCCCTCCTTTCCCAGCCTCCCGCCCGCCAGCTCGCAGACTCGGCCCCTCGGCTCCCGCTGGCCCGGAGCTGTCCTCCGGCTCCCATCGTGGGACGAGCTTTCCCGCCCACAGGGGCTGCGAGACGGACACCGACCACCTGTCCCCTACCCCTGTCATCACTCGAGGTCAAGAACTCTGGCCGCGCTCCCCACCAGTAACAACCACTGCGCACAGGCTGAGATGCAGCATCCAAAAAAAAAAAAAAAAANAAACGCCTGCCCCCACCCCCTAAGGGGGAGCTCGGCGGGCATCTCGGTGGCCCCGGCGCTCGCAGCCCAAGGGAGCCTGTCACCGCCGACGCTCAGCCCGCGCAGAGAACGCACATCCCCGGTGAGCAGCGAGCCGACCGCGCGCGGGCACCGGGGCGCAGCCGAGCCGTCCCTCCCCCGCCAACTCCGCAGCCTCGGCGCAGCCCGCAGCCAGGAAGGTGGGGAGAGGGCGGGAGGAGGTGAGAAAGGAAGTGGGGGTGGGGAGGGACGGAGGGGAGGGAGGCAGGGAGAACCCTCCTCCGGTTTTAATAACGAGCCACGGAAGGAAGAGGCGAGAAAGCGGCCTGCCGGTGAGCGCCCTGCAGCCTAGCCCTCCAAATGTCCAGTCCTCCGCCACTCCCACCCGCGCACAGCAGCCTTGTCACCAAAGGCGCTGCCGCAGCAGGACCTCCGGCGTGACTGCCATAGAGACTATTGGCGATGCGACTTTCTATCAGTTCCAGCTGATTTATTAAAATTGTCAAGATACAGACTTCCAGCACAAAAAAATAAAAATAAAAAAATAAAAACCAGGCAATGATGTCAACAGTGCATTGAGTCTGCTTTGCCACCATTTGCTACAAAATATGCAGATGGTCTGAACTTTATTTAGATTATATTGCACAAAATGAGAACCTTTTTAAACTATGTGCCTTTTTTCTTTTGCTAAAAAATCGAGAATCCAGTTTTAAACCTTCCATCTGGGGCCCCACCCACATATCACAGCGTCTGGGATACATAAAGTCCTACTATAGTACAGTACATATACAGTCTTTAAACTAAGGTAACAGCTCTGAGGTCTATATCACCATTTTCAATAAATCTTTACCTACAAATATTGAACAAATCTCTACTATAGCTGTACAAAAAAAAAGTTTGCTTTTTTTTTTTTCTTTAAACCACAAGGCCTTTAGATGCAAGGATTATTTTAAAAATTTAATCCTTTTAAACCAGGACATAACGTACCAACATACTTGCATGCTAAAAAAAGAGGAAAGAAAAAAAAAAGAAAAAAGAAATGGAAAGGGAAGAAGTGCCTGAAAGTCTCACTGGAAACAGCAAGATGCTCCCTTTTCACTGTACAAAAATACGCCTGAAAATATATTAATTTTTAAAAAAGACTGAGGTCTGTTATGTATCAAAAATGTTTCAATACCTTTTGTACTGAGGTCTAGGCTGTCTGGTGTTCAATCAAGGAGGTATAAGGGAACAGTTACAAAAAAAAGTTGGCAAGTAGAAATCACATTTGTAAAACCATAAACAATTTGATCTGAAAAGTAAACTCTGATCTTAAGTCAGTTCACAGTTTTTTTTTTGTAAGCGTTTGTACAGTCTGCATTTTTTTTTTCAAGCTCCCTGCAGTTTTGTTAAGAATCGGATGCATAGAAGACATCAGTTTTCTCCCTCCAAAATAAAATAAAATAAAATAAAAAAGTTGCAATGGTCCCTTTTTTGTTTTTTTGTGTTTGCTTTTTCTTAAAAAAAA